ATATTCAAGGATTTTTGGTGGCCGCAAATAAGGAAGGCAATCAAAGATTTTGTATAATCTTGTAATGTTTGCTCAAGATTAAAAACTCCTCGTCATCAACCTTATGGACTTCTTCAGCTGTTATCCATTCCAGAACAACCATGGTCTTGTGTTTCTATGGATTTTATCATGGATCTTCCAATCTCAGGTTCTTATGATTCTATATTCGTGATAGTAGATTGTTTTACCAAGATGGCACATTTTGTATCATGTACAAAATCTATCACAAGTTAAGAAACAGCTAAGCTTTTTATTGACAATATATATTGCTATCATAGATTGCCAAAGAATATTATATCGGATATGGGGACTCAATTTGTATCAAGATTTTGGAGAATCCTATTCAAGATTCTAAAGGTGGATATAAAAGCTTTCTTTAGCTTTTCATCTTCAAACTAATTGACGAACGGAACGGATAAATCAAGTTCTGAAGCAATATTTGAGATGTACCATCAATTATCATCAAGATAATTGGACAACTCTTTTACCATTGGCAGAGTTTGCATATAATAATTTGATACATTCTTCTACTCAACAAACACCTTTCTTTGCCAATTATGGTTATCATCCATGTCTTAATACTTTTGACTTTTCAAAAGTTCATAATCATGCAGCAGAAGATTTAGCAAATTGCTTGTCAGAGCTATATACAACAATGAAGATAAAATTAAAGGAAGCTCAAGAACGACAAAAGACCAACTTGGATACCTATCGCAAGGAGCAACCACAATATAATATGGGTGACAAGTTATAGTTACTTTGTTGTAATATCAAGATTACTCGTTTTTGTGATAAATTAAATTATTATAAGCTGAGACCTTTTCCTATTTGTAAACAAATCAATCTTGTTGTCTATTGATTACATCTATCGGAGTCTATGAAGATCCACCTTGTATTTCACGTATTTCTTTTGGAGCCGTATAAGACAGTGAATATCTTGGGAAGAAGACAAATGCCACCTCTTCCTATAGAAGTGGATATTAACCAAGAGTTTTAGGTGGAAGAAGTCTTAGACTCAAGGTAGCGCTGAAATAGGTTGAAATATCTTATTCATTGGCACGGATATGATATTAGTGAATGCACATGGGAGCCATCAAAGAACCTTATAAATGCAATAAAGAAAATTGAAGTCTTTAATCAATGACATCCATCAAAACCAAGATGAAGAATAACAAACCTTTGCTATAAAAGAAAGAAGATCAAAGGAAAATAACATTCTACCTTCTATCTTTCATTATAGCTTCTATGTATTTGTGATGAGATGGAGCACTAACAACTAGTAGATTCAACTCAAGAGCTTTCATTTGTGGACTTACCAAATGAGAGATTGCAATTGTCTTAACTTTCAAGACGACGGAATTGAGATGAAGATCCTCAAGAACGACATATCTTTCTTTGAATAGATGGCAAGATATAACGTGTTTGGTATCACGACCTTGGAAGAGACTCCCAATGTTTAGTGATTTTATTAGAGGTAGGAACAATTCTTGACGCTGTTCCAAATGTTTTATTTGAACGAAGTTATAAAGGCCTCAATGATAATCAAATAATGGGGTGGTCTTCTCGACCTCACATGAGATACTATAGATGGTTGAGAGGACCTATCAACCATCTTTAAAGAGAGCAAAGATTTGAATATGTAGCAAATATAATTTGTCGCATCTTGGACTTCTTCAACATATGAAGACCACTGCTTGTGCAACTCGTCCCTAGAAGGAGAGATAATGTAACAGACATATATATTTACCTGAATAGTTACTTATATGATTAAGTAGTAGTAGGTAAATATAGAATAATTTCATAAATTCTTCTAGAAAAGCTTCTTAGATGCTTCATAGATGCGATTTTGGCTTTAGATGTGTTTGTAGGTTAGAAACTTGGCTAAAAAGCTAATCATGTATTGGTAGCTTGTGGAACAAGCCAGCTATATGGCACATACATAGATAACTTGCCTTGCAAGATAAGATATGTGGTTAGCAAACTCAACACATATTAGAGGTCCTATAGGACATCGCCACGTAGCTCTTAGTTAGATAGTATATATGGAGGCAAGAATGAAGCTTTCTTCACTCTTGTCAATGCCTTTCTAGTCTTAGTCTTATTTCAAGTCTTTCTAGTCTTTCTTGTTTTTGGCAATAGCCATTTTAGTTAATATTACATCACCTTTTGAATGACTTTCTAGTTCTCTTTAGTGATAGAAGAGTGTATTGAGGATTCTCTTTCTTTGAGATTCATGTCCTTGATACTTAAACCTTTCCTATTTATAAAAAAATCAATTTTATTACTTATTGATTACATCTATCAAAGTCTATAAAGATCCATTTCATATTCCATATGTCTATTTTTGACCCATATAAGATAATGAATATTTTGAGAAGAAAACAAATGCCACCTCCTCTTATAAAAGTAGATAACAATGAAGAATTTGAAGTAGAAGAAGTCTTAAATTTAAAGAAATGCTAAAATAGATTGAAATAAGTTGTTTATTATTATAGATTTAATATTAATGAATGCTCATAGAAGCCAATAAAGAATCTTAGAAATGTAGCAAAGAAGGTTGAGGCTTTTTATTGATAATATCCATCAAAATCATAATGAAGAATAATAAATCTTTGCTATAAAAAAAAAAACAAAATTTAAAAAAGATAGCATTCTAGCTTCTATTTTTGTTTGTAGGTTATGTGAATTTGTGAGGTTAATGAGATGGAGAACCAATAATAAGATAATTCAACTCAAGAACTATTATTTATTGACTTTTGGTCAAAACGTAGTAATTGTCATGACCTTCAAGACAATGAAATCAAGATGAAGATCTTCAAGAATGACATGTTATTCTTTGAATAGGTGGCAAGATACAATGTATTTAGTATCATGACCTTAGAAGAGGCTTGTGATATTTGGTGATTTTATTGAAGGTAGAAATAACTTTTGACAATGTTTTAAATATTTTTTTTAAGAAAGTTATAAAGGTCTCAACAATACTCAAATAACAAGATAATCTTCTTGCCTTGATATAAGACATTATTATTAGTTGAGAGGACCTATCAACCATCTTCAAAGAAAACAAAGATCAAAATATGTGGCAATCACAATTTCTAACATCTTAAATTTCTTCAACATATGATAACTACTCTTTGAGAAATTTTTTCCTAAAAAGGAGGGTGATATCATAGACATACATATTTATTCTAATAATTACCTATATAATTAGATAGAAGTAGATAAAAATATATTAATTTTATAATATCTTTTAGAAAAAATTCCTAGAAGCTTCTTAGACACAATTTTGACTTTATATATATTTATAGTTGATTGGTAGATTAGAAACTTTTTCAATAAATTAACCACAAGCCACCTATATTGGTAGATTGTGGAGCAAGTTAACTATGTGGCGCACATATAAAATTTTTTAAAAAATAAAAAAAAATCTTATATATATATATATATATCGAAAAAAAATATAGTATAAAAACACATATTATTTATTTACATTAAAAAAAGTTTAATGTTTAATATGCTTTCAATTGCCAACTTATTTTTATTAAGACTTGATAGATTGACTTCAATTTTGGTAGTATTTGTGCAAAGATTGTGATTACATTACAATTTAATAACTTACATGATTTTTTTATTTATATTGAATTGACTTATCACCTAAATTATTTTGAAATTTATTTTTTATTTATATCTTTATAATTAAAAAGTATAATATGATGATATTTTCAAAGAGTGTAGTTTTCTACTATTGTGTTGAAAACAAAATTAAGAAATGAAAGGATAAGAAACAATACTTCATATTATATATATATATATATATATATATATATATATATATATATATATACATACAAAAACTATTTTAATTGTTATTGATGTTGGGATTGATTTTGTTATTTTATTTTTATCAAGACTTAAATTTCTAATACATTAACAAAAAAAAAAAACAAAAACAAAACAAAAAAAAACAAATAAATAAATTCTACTTAATATGAAACTCATAAAACAATTCATATGGAGAAGAGGGTAAGGGTAAACATTTGATAATCTTTACATATCTTAGCTTATTCCCTTATAAGCCTAGTCAAATAGAATGAAGCCATAAAACCATATCAATTCTTTTATGGCTTTAATACTAAAAATATTGTTATTTATTTATTTATTTTTATCTTTTTGTTTTATTCCCTTTCTTATCACTTTTTGGGTTCCCAACTCTTTTAGATTGTTGAGAGCAAGGACTCGATGAAGTGGAGCAAATCATCAAGCCCTCACTCCCCCCGCCCCACCTTTTGCTTTTCCATGGGGCCCACTTTTCCGGCCTTGGTCTCATCGTCCTAGTGGCAATTTTTCAACCCTAACTAAACTGAAAACAATTCTAGAAACGAACGGAATCCGAAGGGACAACGATAAAGTAACAAAAAAGAGGAAAAAGAAACGTTTTCATAGCAGGGGTGGCTCAAGAGGAGCACCGAGGGGCGTTGCTCCCCGAGTCCGCCATCGCGCGACGGAGAACTCGGAGGTGGAGAGGGTTTATCGAGAGGGAGTGGGCAGGGCTTTCGCTTTAGAGTAATTCCATCAATCGCTGCACACCCAACAAGCCACAACCCCGTCTTGTGGCCCACAACTATTCCAATCGTTGGAGTGGAGAGATTCTCTCCATCTCTCTCTCGCGCTCTGGTTTCATTCGTCGCTCGTCGATTAAACCTCAGCAGCCTCGTCACTCAGTTTGTGTCTGTCTTGCAGTACCGTTCGACACCAGTTCGTGGTGCAAACGAAAGCGAGGTTTGTCGACTCATCTCTTCAGCGGCACTTGTACTTTTCGTCTCTCTGCAGCATTGGGAGGTTTTTTTCTCGTGGGTTTTTGTAGCTCTGTGAGGGATTGCCTGGATGCTTCCGCTGCTTCCTCTGCATGTTTTTTGCTTTCGGTGTACCACCACCGCCTTTCTTAAAGGTTGGGTTTATGTCTTAGTTTGAGCTTGCGAGCGTGCAGGGTAATGTGGACGCTTTTGATTTCGTGTGACAATTTTTGGTCTCTCTAGTGTCATCCACGTTCGTATGGGATGTTTCTATTGCTCAATTGGCCTTTGACTCGCTTCTGAATGCTTCTTGTTGTTCTTTTACACGGGGTTTTTAGTTTCACGTTGGATATCTTTGGTTCTGTTGGTATGGAGTTGCTTGCTGTGGTCATTGATCTTGAAGAAATCCGAAGAGTTTCTTATAATTATGCCGCTGGAAGGTAATTAGAGGGTGCTTTAGTGAATTGTGTTGGTCATAATTGAAACCATTGTGTCAGGAAGGTGCTGGAGTTATGTAGGCCTTGTATCATCGTTACTTACCACACCGTTAGCTCCAAGTTTTTGAGCTTTCAAAGCTTAGCTTGGATTAGGAAGGTAATGTGAGAAGGGTTTTGAACCAATGCTGTATTGTGTCGTCATAGTGTTTTAGCCTAGAGACAGGTTTTACTGGGTCTATTGCGCTTGTCATGGTTGTTTTAAGAAATAAAGGTTTTTCTTTTTCTTTTTTTTTTTTTTTTTTTTCTTTTTGTTGAGCGTGAGCGTATTTACTTTAGTTTTTGAGTTCGTGGGCTGTTGTTAGCCCGAATTTTCAGCGTTAACGGTTCTGATTTGAGTTCTGCTCCAAGTGTGGCGAATTCGGGGGTTTAATTGCTCTCTTACACACAGTTATGAGATTCGGTTTGTGTAATAGTGTTTTTGCTTGTTTTTGCCGATTGTGTAGTAACTTGGGATGGAATCGCCCGATTGTGGTAATTGGAGTCTTGGCTCAATGTTTTATTAATGACGAAAAATATGTTCAACCGTAAATTGCCTCGTAAAAGCTTGTAACTGTGGTCATTGCAGAAAAGAGGAGTTCTAACGTTGAAGAATCCGTAGAAATCGTCATAGTTATGCCATTTTGAGTAAATTGGATGGTATTGCAGTAGATATGGTTTGATATGTTTGAATGTGGGGAGTAATGGCAAATGCATTGCAGTTTAAGACTTGATTCGTCCTTGACGAGGCAAAATCCTTACCAGCGTGAGGGTATTTCAGAGAAAATATTTGCTAAGTGATTTGTGTGTTTCTTCGTCACATTTTTGGAAAATCTTACATATCAATCAAGCTAAAGTACCACTTTGAGTACGTTCTCTTGAAATTGAGCTGGTTGTGGATTTTAACTCGTGAAGTTGTAGGATCAGACTAATTCATGCAACGTCGTTGCCTCTTTCTAGCGTAAGGACAGTTAGTCTGATTCTAGCTGAGTGTTCATCATTTCTCCAGCTGCTATGATTCGCACTTCAAATTTTGAAATTTTGAGATTTTCAGCGTTTCTATCCTAAACAAACTTAGGATTCTTTTGTGGATAGTCCAGTTCGCATGCTTTTTTCTTGAACAACTATTTGATCACTTGCAGTAGCACGGTTATGATATATCAGTATGTAGAACTATATTCGAAAGACGTTATTCATCTAATCTATCACCTAGGTTTAGGGCGCTGAGTACGCCTTTTGACACCCCTTGGGTGAAGAATTTATCGGTGAACATTGTCAATAAATGTGAACTCTTCTTTTATTTTTATTTATTATTATTATTATTATTATTATTATTATTATTTGGTAGCCGTCTGGACTACACCATGCATATCTAATTGAAAACTTTCCGTAGATATCCTGGGGATGACGAGCTGATCACGAGTTTTTGTTTTCTTTGTGAAGATTATCTGCATCAAGGCATCACTTTTCAAGAGGTGAGAAGAGCCAGTAAGCAATGGCCACGAAGACTGACATCGCTCATATTCTAGGTTTAGATGCTAATGAAGACGATGGTCATCTCAAAATCTCCAAGACGAAAATTGTCTGCACGTTAGGGCCCAAGTCCAGAGAGGTCCATGTCCTCGAGAAGTTGCTGAGAGCTGGAATGAACGTGGCCCGGTTCAACTTCTCCCATGGAACACACGAGTACCATCAATACACGCTGGACAGCCTGAGACAGGCCATGGCTAACACGCAAACCATGTGCGCAGTTCTTCTAGATACTAAGGTAAACTCATCAAACCTTCTCCATCACCATTTTATAACGTTTAGTACCTTTTTGTGATACTTGCGTATCTGTGAACTGTAAATCAGTTGTTTAAACAGGAATGTAACCCCTTATGTCCACGTGTTGTTTCTTTAAGTTACCTCTTGATTGCCGAGGTCTTTATCTTTTCTATCATTCAATATATTCTACACATGCGGGAATTTTTCTCAAGACTTAGCTTGTTGCGGCTAGTTGCTTGTGGAGGCACGGGTTCATTTCATTATTTCATCATGATTACAACTGAGCATTGTCAGATAACTGAATACATGTGAACAGTGTACGAAGCCTCTATAATTGAACGTAAAATGCTATTTAAAGATGCTTTCAACTGTATCCTTAACAAATGAATAAAATTGGAGGTTTATAGCGGCGCTGATGCCCATACTTGTCGTTCGTTTCTGATCTTGGCAGGGGCCAGAGATTCGAACCGGGAGTTTGGCAGCTGGCAAGCCAATTCAACTGAAGCGCAACAATGAGATTTGGATCACTACTGACTACAGCCACTTGGGCGACGAGAACATGATAGCCATGAGCTATGCGAAACTCGCAGTAGATTTGGAGCCAGGGAACACAATCTTGTGCTCTGATGGCACAATCACAATGACGGTGCTCGACTGTCATCCTGAGAAGGGCATGGTGAAGGCCAGATGCGAGAACACCGCCATGCTAGGAGAGAAGAAAAACGTGAACCTACCTGGTATTGTTGTGGACTTACCCACCATCACACAGAAGGATATCGATGATATAATGCAATGGGGTGTTCCCAACAAAATTGATTTTATTGCAGCCTCCTTTGTTCGCAAGGGCTCGGATGTGGTGACAATCAAGAAGCTGCTGGGAGAGGCGTCTGACTCTATTCATGTTATTTCTAAGGTAAGTGGAAGCACGCTACTGTTCCTCGTCTGTCTTGAATTCAGTTCTATACTCGGACTTTTGCACTCATCTAAATTCGAACTTGACGATTTTCTTTCTCTGTAAGCGAACAGCAGTCCTAACAGGGATATGTGGAACTACTTCATTACAATAATTTGGAGACGATTCTCTCTGTGTCTCGTCTTTTCGTGACTCTGCAATGCGCTTGTCTCGCTTCTCATCATTTGATGGATCCATGCAGGTTGAGAACCAGGAAGGTCTGGTCAATTTCGATGACATTTTGAAAGAGACGGATGGAGTGATGGTTGCAAGAGGTGACTTGGGAATGGAGATTCCGACTGAGAAGATTTTTTTGGCACAGAAAATGATGATCTACAAATGCAATTCAGCAGGAAAACCAGTTGTGACTGCAACACAGATGCTGGAGTCCATGATCAAGTCCCCTCGTCCCACTCGTGCAGAGGCCACTGACGTGGCGAACGCAGTTCTCGATGGAACCGATGCTGTGATGCTTAGTGGAGAGACTGCAAATGGATCTTACCCTGAACTCGCTGTAATTACCTCTTACGCTGCGTATGTTTTTGATCCAAAACAAACACCCAGTCATCTGAATATGGAAAGTCTGTGTAGGATTGTGCACATATTAACTATATTCAGCGAAATCTGCAAATTTGAAGGCAGGATTTTGGCTAGTCCATCCACAAAGACATCAACAAGTTGCAGCTAAATGTAACGTTTCGCTTGTTTTCTCGTCGTAGAATTTCCACTACTCTCCCGTTTATGACCATCTTGTGAATCTGGATGTCTTCAGTCACGACATGACAACAGACTTGCTAATGAGGCAAATGGCTTTACGTAGGTGGCAGTGATGTCCCAGATCTGCCAGGAGGCTGAGGCTGCGCTGGATTATGCATCAATCTTTAAGGAAATTATGAAGTCTGTTCCTTTGCCAATGAGCCCTTTGGAGAGTCTGGCATCTTCTGCTGTTAGGACCGCCAACAAGGTGCGGGCCTCTCTTATCATTGTGTTGACACGGGGAGGCAGCACTGCGAGGCTTGTGGCAAAATACCGGCCATGTGTACCAATCCTCTCGGTCGCGGTTCCGGTTATGACCACAGATGGTTTGGAATGGACTTTCAGCGCGCCGTCTCCAGCCCACCACAGTCTTTGTTGCAGGTAGTGTACATACAGAACATATATCCATGTTCAGTTTGTGGCAACAGTTCTTCATATGATGCTTATGGATCTCGTTCTTCTCTTTTCAAGTTCCATTGAATTTGCTAACCGGTTTATGTTGAAACCTGGTTCGGCTGATATGTGGAGAGACTCTGATTCTGATTCTGATTTCCGTACTAGTTGTTCATGTCAAAGCTTGTGTTGTTGTGTTCTAGCTTTCCGCTATTTACAGTTTTTGTTCAACTTCGTCTTGCTCAGCTGGAAAGCGCTTTGAATGCAGGGGTCTGATTCCACTTCTGGCGGAAGGCTCTGCAAAGGCCACTGATTCAGAGTCGACAGAAGAGATTTTGAACGCAGCTGTCAAATATGCGCTGAAGCGCAAACTTTGTCTTGTGAGTGACTCCGTTGTGGCCCTTCACCGCATTGGCGTGGCATCAGTTATCAAGATCATTGAGGTCAAGGACCTTGCTTCCTCATAATCATGATATACCCAATACTTTTGCATATCAATGGACATCTATTTTTCGCTCTGAGCAGGCGATGATTGTTGGGAACGTTTCATGAAAGATTGGACCATTAGACTTGGAGGTCTGGTAGAGGACCGTGTTCAGCACTATTGCTCGCCCATTCTTTGTAATTGACAGTAAAATCGAGATCAAATAGTTAGTGCAGCACTAATTATAGGTTCAGGCTTGTGAGGGGTGCAAACATGAACGTCGAGCACAGGTCCTTTCCCATACAGTTGGAAACATTTTTGTGAATTGGGGTCATGTATCCATTGCGGTAGGCGGAGGATTTTATGTCGAAATTGTGACTTCAAGGTTTGGAACTTGGTGTCTTTGAATGCCAGTTATTGTTTTTTTTCATTAATACATGCAGAGCACTGCATCATTTCCGACTCGTAACTAGATGCCCAGATGCTTTTACCCGTCGTTTGCTGTGTGCTCTCCCTTCTATCAATATGATTATGCCAAGATGCCTTCAACTCATATGTTCGCTCAGTCATCGGTTGCTGTTCAAAATGATCAGTAAAATAAATAAATTATATGTATACGTATGTATATATATGTTGGTACTAGAGCATTTGTGCTATTCTTCTTAGGAGAATTGTATAACATCTTTGTATTTGAAATAAATTTGAATGATGGCTCTTCTAAAAATGTGATAATAATGAAAGGATTCTTTAACTATTTAGTAATACACAATAACTTCAATCACAAATTCATTGTAAAGAATTAATTAAATAACTCTTAAGCAAAAAAAGAAAGATAGAAAAAAGGAATAAATAAATAAATAAGGAAAACTTCAGATTTTGGATATCTTTTATTAATTTTTTATATTTTCATACTAATTTTTTATTTCTCAATTTATAACTACCTATTTTTTATTTTTTTTCTTAGTACCATTGTGAACAAAAGTTGCATATGTTTAACTTTAATTGAATTTGATTTCTTTGTATTGAGTTAATTATACTACTAATTCTTCTACATTTTATTGATTTATATTCTTTAATTGTAATGTATAGCTTAATATATATGTGTGGACAAACATGGTTTACTTCTCATATTATTCTATCTTCATATCAATAGAATTATTCTTACTATCCTATTACTAAATAAATTAATAACTAATGTAAATTTAATTAAGTTTTTTTTTGGTAAATAAAGTTCAATTACATAAAATTGACATAATAGTAACTTAAATGAAAAATATTTTTATATTTTCTAAGAAATTTATAGGCATAGATGTTATTTTATAATTTTACTTATTTAAGAATTTTTTATTATTTTTTATTATATATATTTTTTTAATATTTAATTTTTTTTTGGTGATATTTTTTAAAATATGCATTTAATAAGTATATAATATATAAAATTTCTATAACAAAATACTACTCTCAAATTTAAGCTTTTAACTACAAAAACAAATACACTATAACAACTTAATAATAACAATAATAATAATAATTAGTACTTTCAAATATCCATAGGTTTATTATTTATATCTAAAAATATTAAAGATATTTTACCACATTAGTAGAGCTTTCAAGATATATTTTGAAGACTATTGTAAATCAAATATTATTTGTGTAGCTAGTTTAATTAAACATTGATGGTTAATAAGTAAATGAATAAGAAGATAATTTATACTAATATTATGTTACTTGATATTATAAGTATAGTAATAAAAGAATAATTGTATACACATTAGCATATGAATAATAATACAACTATTCAATTTATTCTTGTATTTTAAAACAATATTAATTTATATTACATACAATGTCATACATACACCAACTAAAAATATACATATTTTTAAAAAATAAATAAATAAAAAATTATAAATATTAAATTTAATAATTTATTTATTGATTATATAAATTTTTTCTATCTACATCTTGAAAAAGAAATCCAAAATTTAATAATCATTATACTTTTGCTTCTAAAACCAAACTTAATTAATTATTTTTAGATCACTTTTTTTCAAAATATATTAATTTTTATTTAAAAAAATAGTATATATTGACAATAGCATGTTATAAAAGAATAAGAGCCAAAGAATTAAACTATTAAAGATTCATATTTCATGTTTTTGTTGTTTTATTGCTACTATAATACCAATTTTTTTAAAATTGACATTTTACAATCTATAATGTTTGTTTATTTTAAGCTGATTTGGCATAAGAAATTATGCCAAAATATTGAAACTAACATTATTATATGTTCTCCTTTTCTCTTAACTATAATTGCACACTGATTATGACATTATTACTAAAGAGCATTGATATGTAAAATAATATATTGGGAAGAGAAGTATAAAAAACATTAGATAGATAAAGAACCTATTGTACAAATTTTTATTCTTCATACAAATCCTCCTATATTTATTTGATTGTGCAATGGTATGACTATAGAAGTTACATGAAAATATTTAACAATAGTCTAGAACATATGCACAATAAGTACAATGCTACAAATTGATACAAGAAGCAACCATACCAATTGTAACTGTCAAGCAAATAGTGTAAGCTAGACTTTATAATTGTATCTTCTTCATTTATATTTTTTTCTTGATGATGTCATAAATAATGTCATAATTATTTTTGATAGATTTCCTTCTAGCATCAAATCTATCAACTATAATTTAATCTACACTAATTTGTAGCAATGTATACATAGTCAATAAACGAGCATGCCAAAGTTGCATCATTTTTTATTTATTTTTCTACAAATACCATGTTTAGAATATATACCTGAATATACCAACAAAATTAAATTTCAAAAAAATATATACTAAAAGAAGTATGAAAAAATAGATGAGTATTACGGACATACATAATTACCTTGATAAGAAGAGTTGGATAGAAGGTAAATGAAGGTAGATTTGATAACATCTTATGAATAAACTTCTTAGAAGCTTTACAAGTGTGGATTTGACTTTATACATGTTTGTAGTTAATTACTAGGTAAAAAAATTGGCCAATAAGTTGGCCACATGGTGCATATGTAAGAAACTTGTCTTGTAAGTTAGATACATGTCTTGCAAGTTGGACACATATTGGAAGTTCTACAAGACGTCATTATGTAGCTCTTTGTTAAATAGTATATATAGAAGTAAGAGTAAAGCTTTCTTCACTCTTGTCAATTCCTTTCTTGTTCTTAGTCTTGTTTTAAGAATCTTTAGTCTTTTTGTCTTTAGCAATAGTGATTCTTGTTTTTAGTACTATACTACTTTTGAGTGAATATCTATGATTTTGAGTGACACAAGAGTATATTGAAGTTTTTATTGTTTGTGATTTATGTCTTTGGCATTAAGTAACATTAAAAGATTTAAAATCTAAAATATCAACTCAATATCATATGTTTATATTTTCTATAATAAATTGTATATAATACAATAGCTAAGATACTTCTAAAAAATCTTTTTATCCCTATATTATCTTTGTTTCTAATAAGATGTACTTAAAACAAGAATTTCTATACATTGTTGACTATATCAATGATTATTGTTTTAAAAGTGATAATTTTTAAAAATACAAAAGAACATGTTTTAAAGATTTTTTTTTCTAAAATACTATTTTTTTATAATTTTTATGTATTATAATAAAAAATTCTTCACAATTAGATATTGTATAGAACTCAAAGTTGTATTGATTAGTATGTAAAAGCTAGAATAATACTTTATTAGTTTTAAGATGTGCACATCTTCATTGTAGACTTTTCTTAATGAGTTTCACTTTTTTTTCACAAATTTTTTATACAAATAGCTTAATAAGATCATTCTTAGATAAATATAGGATCAAATGAAGTAAATCCCAACAAATCAAATATTCTACAAAATATTTGATATTTACCATGCTTCTGAATACCGTGGCAATTAAATTGCATATAATGCCTAAATTTTAAAAACTACATGCTAACTTCATACCACAAATGATAGTATATATAATACCTCCAAATAAAATAAAATAAATTGAAACATGTTAAAATAAAAAGTTAAATGAGCTAGCATTCATTATTTTGTATGAGCTAATCACCAAATTTTTTTCCTTCTTATTGACTCCTTCAAAAAAGAATTCTACCACGCTAATCTTTTCTACTCTTTTTTTCTTATTTTTTTGTCTATAATCCTACATTTTAGTCCTAAAGTCCTCAAAATAAATTAATTTTTTTGATCCAAATATATTATTTATAGTAGATTTTTTATAAATAAAATATCTAAATTTAAATTAAATATTTAATGGTATAAATTCTTTTTTCTCTTTGTAATAAGATAGAGTTAACATTATTGTATAAATAGTTATAATCATGGAAGTTTCTAGAATTGGGATTAGATTAGTCGATCAGATAGGATCCATCATAGAACATTCTAGAAAGAATTTAGGGTAGTTATTTAGGTAGAGTCTACCATGGATCTTCTAGAAAAGGAGTTTATGGTGCTTATCTAGATAGGGTCTACCACCTAGGAACATTCTAGAAAGTCTAAGGTAGTAGGATAAGGTATGAATAGGACTAGTCACGACCTTTTGGAGCATCTAACCAAGTATGGCTTCAGATCCTTTCTCTTAGTAAAATTTAGTTTTGCATCTTTTTATTCAGTTCAATTTTGTTCTATTTTGTTTCCATTTGTTCAATTTTGTTTTGATTTATTTTGTCTTATTTTGTAATGAGGCTTTTTGTTGCTTTGGATTAAAAAGATCTTGGATTTTTGAGACAATCTAGTCCTATTTCATTCGTATCAAAGTGAGTATTAGATTTTTTATTTTTGGTAGCATGAGAATAGTCATCATCTAATCCAATGTCAGTTCTTGTGGTCACATTGGGTGTTATGTTGAGGCTACCACGAGCTACTCTTAAAAAGCCAATTGAGAGGTAAAAAGGCATTATAATATTATAATCTAGCGAAGAAATTACAACATGGGAGATATGGCAGAGCGATCCTAGATGGAGGCTCAAATACAATACTTCTTGGGCGAGATAGCTACTTTATAAAGGCAAATAGAAGCCTCAAGGATGAGAGAGGTTTGATATCTACTAGTTTGAAATTGAATAAGCCTAGTAGATACTCTAAGACTTCAAGACAAGAAGATATATATCAATGGCTCTTCAATATGTGACAATACTTCCAACTATCTCAGGCAAATATCATTGAAGGAATAATATATGCAGCCAACTATTTGAAAGATGTTGTAGCCATTTGGTGGCAACATTGAGCTCAAAGTTATGGAGCTCAAGGTGGATTTTGTAATTGGGAAGAGTTTGAGACCAAGTTTAAGAATCAATTTTGATCCATCAATGGAGAGAAGATAGCACGCAATCAGTTGATAAATCTTACACAAGCTAGATCGATATAAGATTATGTTTCCCGATTTAAGTCCCTATGTCTCCAAATTAGCAATGTT